CGGTAGGAGCAAATTTAAGTGCCTCTTTTGTGGGCCTATGTGGAGTGGTTGTGATAGGAAAGACATGGGCGACCCAAGAAAGTTAATTAAAAGTTATTCGTTGATGCTCAAGTTTACTTAGAAAATGTGTTTAATCAGTAGAAAAGTAACAATTTACACAGTTCTGAGTGGACAGTTATGTTGGGACTACATATAAATAGGCTTCACTGAAAAAGGTGTGTAGCTCTCAACATGAGGTTAGTAAGTCCCAGTTTTATATTGCATTACTCATTAGAAATGACCCTTGTATCCTTTCATAGGAAATAGCTACAAGTTAATTTTTAATACAGTGATAATAATACTTCTTATTCCAGGCAAGGGTAAATGTTCCCTGTGTAAGTACTCAAACTCTGAATAAAAGTATGCAGAAGTTACCATTTAGCACCAAGCCAGAAATCCAGGTAAGAAAATCTAAAATCATTCATTCAAAATGTTTTAGTTATTCGGTTTGTGGATGCAAACTATATTCTGAATGAAAATTGAAATAACCTGTCTGTATAAATTGAATCTTAGCAAGAAACTTCAAACTTTCATTTCAAATAAAATTTTAGAGGAATGCTATTTGGAAAATAGATGAACAATCAAACACCAGTTGTACAAATTCATGAAAAGGAATACCAGTCAATTTTTGTTTGTGTTATTATGGACATTGTTTTTTCAATTTTCTCCAGAGTAGCTTTTGTAAAATTGTAAATGTATGAGTAAATAAATAAAGTTGTTGTTGTTGTTTGTGTAACAAGTAAGCACTTCTTTACTTTGGCTTATGTTATGTTTTGGTTTTCAGATAGAAGCAGTAAAAGAATTAGCAAAATGCAACCCCAAGGGTCGGTTTTGGATAAAGGCTGATGAGACTCACTGATGTGAAAGCAGCCTAACAGGAGTCATTGCGAAAATAGTGGAATGGTGACGTGGATTTGCTGGATGGCATCAAAGCTGCAAGATATACAAAGGGAGAATGAAGCAAGAATATTGAGCTGTGAAACAACAACTAAAGACAATAACATCAGCAGGGAAGATTTAGTTTTTGCATTTGCAGCACTGATTACTGCCTTAGAGGAAGACATTGCATTTCTTGATGATGGTCTCCAAAAAGCAGTCGATTCTTTTTGTTCAAAGTTCAACAACCCCAGCACCCCAGTTGAGACTCTGAAAAGCCTTAATTGGGACATTGTAGAATTTCAGAGACTGTTGGAACAGGCGTCCTTCTTCAAGTAGCAAATCAGTACTTTCATTGCTGACTTGAATTCATCACAATCACAAGGACCAGTAGCACCTAACTGGAGACTGTGGCTGAAACAATCCCATGGCTATTTGCAATTCTTGTGAAACCTCTTCAAGAAAAAGCGGATTTGTGCAACACACATTCTTGTTTTCATGGTGGCCGACGAGCAGCGCATCTGCAAACCTTACGCCATCCCCATTCAGTATGTGCCTAATAAAGGGATTAGAGACCAGGAAGTGAGGGATCTCACCAAGAAAATCAAAATGGAAATGACCAAGGCACATCTCAAAGTTGTTGGTATGTACTCTTTTTTGACATAATGAACAAAAAAGGATATGAATAGGTAAAGCATGTCTGTTCTGTTCCAGTTTGAGTTTTGTCAATCTTGCTGACATATTCAAGGAAGGATATTCTTATGCCTGGATTTAAAGTCCATCCCTTGTTCAGTTGTAGCATGTACAATTTGATGATATTGTTGACAAAAAGTCAATAACAGGCACCAAGTAAGAACCTTCCTCTCCTGGTTGCTGCCCATGGCTCCCAAACATTGTTGCTGAAGCTCCTTGGTGTTGAATATCTTTTTTTTTTCTGCTATCTGTAGGTACCAGTACTGATGGTGAGTTTGAGCAGTTAAGGAGGAGGGGTGAGACCCGCCCCCTGCACATTTGGCAGCTAGCTCATGATGCTCGTGACAGTGTCAGCAAGATGAGTAAAACAATTTTGTTACAGATGCTTGAATTGCAAGGAGGTATTAACAGTATAGTATATGTCCTAAATACTGTTGGCCATATTTGACCACTATTTTGTTTTGGTGTCCTGTGACCTGGATTTTAGATCATAGTTTCCCAATGTGCAATTTTGCTATTATTCCTCAAACAAGTACTTTTGTACCACAGTCGAGCCCCTATTAAGTGGCCACTTACTAAACAGCCACCCTAGTAGGCGGCCAGTAGTCAAGTCCCGATGTGGGCTTTTCTATTGTTTTTACCTCTATTAAGTGGCCAACCCCTTTGAAGGACCCACTATCCATTTCCCTGAGGGTGGCTGTTTAAGAGGGGTTGAACTGTAGGATGATTGGCAGTCAAACGATCCTCAAAATCAATTGACATTGTTTTTTTATTGTTCGTGATGTCTCAAGTGCAGTTGCAATAGTTTTGTTTAAAGATTATATTTAATAATCTTTTCAATTAAAATGGTACTTGAAATTAACATTAAACGAACTAGCAAGACTCATTTAAAGTAATCGTACAAAGTTTCGATAAATTTGCTTGCAGTTGATGGCAATGGTCTTCCAGTTGTGGTCCGTCCAAATTCAGCTATCCCACATGAGGTTATTTTTCAACTACATGAGCTGAGAAACAACCAGATGTTGAGCTTGGAAGATGCAGTTACATTTGGTAGAGGGAAACTGGTCCCTGATGGGTATGCACCATTACCCTTCAGAAAGGACACACCTGAAAGTTTGCTTGACAAACTAGGATCTGTGGTGGCCACATACCAGTTCAGATGTGATGTCCAACACTGGAAACATCAAGGTGTTGATTTCAGCCTGTATGTGTATGTGCCAGAGGTGGACCCAATCACTGGAGACATTCACCATGAAAGAGCAGACCACAACCACCTACTAAAGAGAATAGCTAAGCACACCAGGGATGGCAACAACAGTGAGCTCATTTATGAAAGGTTTGATGAAGCCATGCGCAACCCCATGACGGGACTCACCCATGCAGCATTGGTTGGTTCACACAAGCAGTCAGTACCAGATGCTGAGAAATTGCTCTCTTTTCATGTGGCCAAATTTTTCAAAGACAACCACTACCTTGCAGAAGCAGAATACGTTGAGACGGTTGCTTTATGGCATGAAGCATCTGATGGGCGTGGCCTAAGTCAACTACAAAGATGCAGGCAGAACTATCAGATGCTCAATTACATCCTGGATGAGTGGATTCCTTGGCATCAGGACAATTATGATCTGTCCACACTTGACATAAACAAGTAAATTTATGCCCATAAACTATTATTGACATATCCCTGTAATATGCAGTTTACTCCAACAGAGGGGTGCATTTTAAAGGGGAAAGCAAATCTTTGAAAGATCTGTGTAGATAAAGTACAACAAGAATGTGGCATGAACAGCATTGCAAACATGTTTAAGAAAATATAACCATGTGAATGAAAATCATCACAAACCCTTTCCATAATTTGTGTTTTGACTGTTGACTTTTTACAGGAATAGAATCTTCATTTAACTATGCCTTCATTGCAATTTGCTGCCTCATCCATGGAAATGAATGTTCCATAGCACATAGTACAAAAAGTTGACATTGTTTACTCTGGTTTGAATTTGTAGGCCTATAGGGGGTTTGAGAGGGTTTTCTCGAGAAACCATCATTGAAGTGACAACCAACATTGAAAGTCAAGAGTTTCGTCGTCGACAAAATCAAGAAATTGGCTATGTGGAGAATCCCCGTGCATCGGAAACTGATGACCTCGAGTGCTTTTATGGTATGTGCCACACTTGGTTGGGTCCATATTTCACCCTCAAGGATTTCAAGCTAAAGTGGAGGAAGATTGTACGGTATGTACATGTGTGGGATCCTGTGAATATAGTGGCCACTTCTATCTCATACGCGGGTTTTACGGTTGGGAAAAAATGTTCTGAATTTGTGCCTCAAAATTAACTACTGTTTCAAAAAGACTAATTTTGTTCATCATGGATTATTCAGTCAAGGAATTAAGTATTCTTCAAGGCCAGGGAAAAGCTGGGGAATTTCTATTTCGATTCAGGGGAAGTTGATATTTTGAAAATAGCCCAATCTCGATATATCAAAATTCAGCCTAAAGTAATAGACCCCAGTATGAGGCTCTAAGGAATAAAACCCCCAAACTATGTATTCATTTCCCAGAGCCTCGTACTGAGGTCTATTGCTTTAGGCTGAATTTTAATATATCATAATTGATCTACTGAAATAATTTAACATGGCTTATTTAAATTACCATTAAAGGCTGGTAGAAACTAGACCTGACATTTTGCATTTTTCTGGTCAAGAAAATTTTATTGTTTTCAGGGAAAAAGTCAGGGAATTTTGAAATTAAAAGCAATGTCTGTGGCAACTATATCAGTGACTACACATTGATGTAGGGAAAGCTTTTAATGACCCTTCTTTAATTCTACGCTTTTAGGGAATTTACAAAACGTATGGACCCAGATCTTCCCTTCTTTTACCATACTCTGAATGAAAGGTTCTCAGTGGACTTGTTGCCATCTTTTGATGAACCACCACCAGGCTGTGGAAGTGATGATGAAGATTGTGATGACCTAACAAAGAACCCATACCGTTTGCACCGTCTTGTTAGAAATACCAGGGAAGATGGATCCATATTTGCTGCCGGTCGGTCATTTCTTCCAGCCAGAAACAGAACATCGACAAGACAACGATTTCATCGTTTTGATATTGGCTTACCCCCTGTTCCTCAAGGATAGCAATTGTATCTTATATATTTAACCCCCAACAATACTAATTATTATTTTCTCCTTACAATACCAATGACATGAAGACAAGTGCTGAGAATATAGATTTAATCACCTAGGAGGAACTGTCACAGCTTGAGTCATAAAGAAATAAATTTTTGAACTAAACCCTACCAAAACAGGATTTTTTTATCCAAGTGAATACTAAGTTATGTAAAGTTATCTTAATACAAAATCAAGTATGTCTTTGCAAGAGTGTGTCAACGGAAAATAATGTGTATACATCCTCAAACCAAAAAATGGTAAGCAATTAAAATTCAAGACTTATTAAAATCATTGGTCAAGGGTGATCAAAGAAATAAAGTTCTTTTTAATAAATGCTATCTTGTTATTGTATAGCTGACTTTGCTTTGCTCTTTGAAAACTGGGTTGGTGGAGGGTATTTGGGTTACGACCAGGCCAATAACTGAATTTAACACAATGTATGAACATCTGACGACCACTTTTTCATCATGTTACTGTTCACTTGACTTGACCATGACATGAAAACCACCAAAGACTGTTAAAAATCTCCCAACGTCCTACATGGTGTTTTGAGTTTGATTAGCAAACACTTATTGAAGTCTCTCAAAGGTTGCTGAAAATCACCTGTGTTGTCTATCTAATTTTTCCCCTTTATATGCACATTATTAATAAGACATCAGACAATTCCTCGTAAGAGTAAGAATAATGTAGGCTTTCATTTTCTGAAAACAAATTCAATTAAATTGGCTACAGCTTATCATTGTACTTGTATAGTCCATCATTAGGCAGCCATTTTCCAGCCTTGGTAAAGATTACAGATGCTATATAAGTCCACTTTGGAGAGTCTACCATGATATACTGACATTTGATGTTTTTAAATTTTGCATCTTGTAACTCACCATTTGTCATTGCTGAATTAAATTTAGGGACTTTTTCTTTGGGAATATAACCAATCCTGTCCCATTGTAAGTTCACTTTGGCTTGCACAATGATGGCATTGCAATCCCTGATGTTGTCTGGTTCAGTTTGAAGTCTTAGTTCAACTGTTCCTTTTGCAGCTAGAATTTCTCGGCATTTCTTCAACGTACTTTGACAATCTGCATGAAAGGAGCTGCCTCTTAAACCAACATATTCAGTAAAAAGAGGAACTGATTCCTCAACTGCTTCTCTTTCGTCACATGGCTCCTCGAGATATTCCTCCTCTTCATACTCCTCGTGGATTTCATCTACAATCACAATATCCTCATCTGATTCTTCGCTTGAAGAGTTAGCACCGTTGTTTTCAGGTTGGTTATGACAAGCAGTGCAATCTGGCAGCACAACATTCATCAGCCTGGGATATTCAGTGCAACTGCACCGACACCTGGTTAAATCCAGCCACGGACAACAATCGGAGAACGTATCGTCCTCTGATGAATTTTCCAGTTTCTCCATCGATTTAGGTCTTGGAAGCTTAGACGCTCCTACTTTACCCACAACTTCGAAGTCCACGATAAAGGTAACCTGTCTTCCATCAGATTCCTGTGTAAACAAAAAAACAATTCGACACAACTAAACTTGAGATGAACACGTTTACAAACCCGACGATAATAACAATAAGTTTAAGCTTAGTTTGCTTGGTTTACCATAGCCTGCGCGAGAACACAAGAGAAATAAAGCAACTTGTACACAAATACGATACAAACACAACAACAAAAAAATAGTTACCGTGAAATAACAGGACGATTTAACGTTGATCAGGACAGGGCTTCGTGCGGTTGAAAGTTTGCCTTTGCAATCGTCGCTCCAAAGAACACAACAGAGACGGCGAACGGCCAACTCCCTTGGAAAACTAAAGTGTCCAAGTACACAACATATCTCTAAACAAGGAAAACTGGTGACTGTAGTGAATTTTTTGGTTCCTAGATCGATGCAATGAACATATATCAGCTTCGAGAGATCGAATGGTCTCTCACACCGCGAAATTAACCTCACGGCGTCCATGTCGAAATGGCAAGTCATGTGACCCAAAAATAATGATAATATAGTTGGAAGCAACGCATCATGGGAAGTCCT